ATCTGTAAATGAATGCTCCCAACAAGGAAGCATGATTATCCCCCTTGGCATGCAATATGGTGCGAAAGGTTAAGATGTAAACTCATCACACTCCGTCTCCCATTGTTTTTTCCTAGGTCACCGAGAGAAAATAACAACAAAATTAAACAACAAAATATGGCCTCAGAAGTAGTACAGAACACTGTCCTAACCTAAATCTGAAGTGACAATTGAAAACTCTGCAATACGTTGTGTTTCTCTGCTGTCACGTGTATTGCCTCAGTGTGTGTCAACTATTTTCACTAATACTGAATTGTTTGACAATCTGTATGTCGTGGCAGTTTATATTTGGAGTATTCTGGCTACATACACTACTGATGATAACGTTCAGTGAACATATTCTGAACTTAACACTGAAAATTATGTGTCAAACTGACTTTTGATAGTGAGTTCCTGCTACGTAGAAATTAACTATGGTGATCTGTGAGAGCCAAAACTCGTTTACAAATTGTATTGGTAGACACCAGTGAACTGCTTACAATTAAACATGCGTCTGATTCCTGAAGATGTACAACAAGTACAGCAACCTCAAGACATTCGTGTTCCAAACAATATTCCCCAACCACAGAAACTTGACTTGAAAGGCAACCTAAACATTAATTTCAGACAATTTGAGCGCATGTGGGACAACTATGAACTTGCAGCACGTTGCACAAACAACTCTGATGCATGTAGATCTGCTACATCACTGACATGTATAGGGTCAGAAGCACTTGATACAGTGAATGGACTTCATTTTGATAATGATGGGGATAGACAGAATGTTGACAAAATTCTGGAGAACGGTATACCGTCAGTCTTAGAGATCAAGAGCAATTTGAATCTGCAGATTCCTATGTTGCTACACTCCATACTCTGGTAAAATCCTCTAACTTGAAGAGTCACTTATCAGGGATAAGATGGTCATGAGAATCCGTGACAATGCAACAAGAAAAGTTAGAAACGACTACTACAGAATACAAAACTTGAAAGACTGCATTGATACATGTCGTTTACATGAAACTGCAGCAAGAAGGTTAAATCTGTCAGGTCTTGAAGATGTCCAGACCATGCAAACATCAAGAGCCAACAACAACAACCCAGACATGAATGGTGATTGCAAGGACCAACTATCTCCACAATCTGAAGAGCTACTTCAGTGGAAATTGTGTGGTAAAAGGCATGTGCTTGGTAGGAAACCCTGTCCAGCATGGGATAAACTTGTAAAAAGTGCAAGCGGCAGAATAATTTGCACCTCGTGTCCAGGAGTCTTTGATAAGAAATCTAAACACAAGGTCTCCATGCTTGAGGATGAATCTGATTGTGAATTCTGTGAACACAGAGGGTGATAAACTTGTAAAACACCAGTATCCAAAGAAACAATTCGTAAAAATGCTCATGAATAATCACCTTCAGAAGCACATGGTTGTTCAGACTCAGTTAATGACAGCATATAGTCTTCAAAGCAAAGGTGTGTTCAGACTGGGAAGAGAAAGCTTACAATTGTCTTTGGAATGGAATGATTTCAGCAATTTGTCTATGGTAGGAAAGTAGTTTTTCGAATCTGATCACAAAAATTTGGAGTCTATACTGCGGAAAAGTCTCCACAGTGCTCCCAAGCATCTGCAACGCATGATGTTACGTCTATAGAAATGAGTTTCACGCTGTCTACGGGAAAGGAACTGAAATGTTCTTACCACATCAGACAAAAAATGGAGATGTTCTGAATATTGACTCTCGATGTCCTACTGCCATTGAAACTGAAACAGTCAACATGGCTGAGTACCTGTTCATATCAGACCAAAGCCTTGCTCAAATTCAGAAATCAACTTGAGACGATACCTCTATGATCTCACTAAAGCGACTGATCCAGTAAGGGTGGCCGCCTTTAACAGAAGATGACCCAAACTGTATTAGAGTTTACTTTCCGTTTCCAGATGAACTGTTAGCCCAAAACGGCATCATAGGTGAACTAGTGGTCATCGCAGTGAGTATTACACTGAACATTATGGATCAAATACCCTCCAGCCATATTGAATTACATGGCTGTCTGCAAAGATCAAGAGAACTTGTGTATTGGCCGAACATGGGATCTCATCGCACTGCATATTTCAGAAAGTGTGCCACTTGCAACACTTTTCAACAAGATCAGAGAAATGAACCACTCATCAGCCATGAGATACCTTACTGTCCATGGAAGATTCTCGGAAGTGACCTGATCGAGTTTGACAACAAGGACTACCTAATCACTGTTAATTATTACTCTGACTTCTGAAGTTGACAGACAGAGAAAAGACCTCCAGAGATCATCAAGAAGATAAAAGCACATTTGGCAAGGCATGGGATTCAAGACCAAGGCCCACTTGCACAGAGCAATCTTAGTTATTCCAGACCAGATCGTGACAGACAAACAGCCCACCTTTTAACTCTGATGCATTCAGGAAATATTCTGAGCAGTGTTATAGTCCGTTTGGCTCAAAATCAGCCAGGTGACAGATGGAGACAGCACAGCACAGGTTAATGAATCAATAACTTGGTGGGCACTTGTGCACGTGCTTCTCGAACACCTGGATGTCCCTTTCTCTGCACTCCTCCCTCGTAACAAATAGTGAACTGTGTCAAAATTTTAATGATAGTTTGTTAAACAACTTTTTTAATTTTAGGACATAAATTCTGCAAACAAACCACAGAGTTGGTCTGATGTTTTGATTATGATCAGCGTTTCATTGAGTATTATATGTTTTTAAGTTTTCGAGTTGCATTGCAATTCATCGGTCCGCTTTTGATCCACACATAACACATAACATCCTCTCCACAAAACCCACAGTCTAATGGTAAAGTACAGAGAACTGAGAAAACTGCAAAGCAACTGCTTAGTCGAGACTGATGTCTATTTATCATTGTTAGACTGGAGAAATGTTTTTTTTCAACCGAAGGAATCAGAACTTTCATCAGTTCTGATACGTTTTGGTCGTTGAACTAAAACTCCACCTCCCATTGCAAAGAGACTGTCACAGCCTAAAACAGTGTAAACATACCTGAAAGACTTGCAGGTAGGAAATAGCAGCTGAGTACTACAACTGTAGTACTGCACAGCTAAACAACTGCACAACTCTCACAGCTAAAGGAAGGTGAGGTAAGGTGAAATTGGGTTTAACGTCGTGCTTGAGAATATTTCGCTCATATGACGACATGCATGCGTGTGTATGTGTATGTGCGGCTGCTTGTACTAGCCCAGACTGAAGCTGGTTTTATAGTGCTAGCCCACAGAGATACCATGCCGCAGTGAAGCATGAACATCCCACTCAGACACATCATACAGACTCTGAGCCGACCAGTCCTTGTTGTACCCACTAATGCCAAGCGCCAGGCAGGGACCAACAAGTATCATATTTTAACGTCTTTTGGTATGACGCGGTCGGGGGATCGAACCCGCAACCTTCCGTTCTCGAGGTGGACGCTCTAACCACTACACCACGGAGGCAGTCCAAGACCAAAGACGTTAAACTAGATGGTTTATCCCATAAATATCAATAGAGACAATCCTCTACAGGAGTTTGCACATACAGTTTGTAACCAGAAACAGACCATCCACTACTACTAGCAGTCCAAAAACATTACTTACAGACCATGAGCATAATCAAGACAAAATCTTAATGTTCAACAATTACCAATTCTCAGAAAACGAAAGTGCAGCAAGAACTGACAATGAAAACAGCACCATGATTCTTAATAACCTCAAAGGTAATCTTGATCAGGTATGGACATAGCACCAACAGTAAATATGGTTGGCATATGTTATATTTGGGATTACACTTTCTCAGTAAAGTACAGATTCTAGTACTTTTAGGGGGTTGAGTCCCATCAGGGATTCGAACCCACACCCTCAGAGTCAGGCACCTAAATGCCAGCACACAAAGTCAGACGTGGAAGCCGCGGTGGCTGAGCGGTCTAGGCGTCTGACTTTGTGTGCTGGCGATTAGGTGCCTGACTCTGAGGGTGTGGGTTCGAATCCTGGATGGGAGTCAACCCCAATAAAGTACTAGAATCTGTACTTTACTGAGAAAGTGTAATACCAAATATAACATATCTTACATTTGATCACTTTCTAAAATGGCATTGTGTATTTCAAATATGGTTGGGTTTGCAAGGAAAAATGTGAACTATGCATCAAGACTGGTACCACTAATCTTTGGGAACCATTTTCTATTTATTTTGTGACCTTGACCATTGCCATTACTGCATGTGCCAACATAATTCCCAGTTACAGGATATTTTCCTTTGTCAAAAGTATTTCTGGCATATGCAAGACACAAGAACCAATATGATGCTGCTGCACTAATCCTCAAAGGTGACATATGGCAAAAATATTGCTGAGTGCAACTAAACTCACTCAGACATTTCATGTGGAAGGATTTCCATAAGGAAATACGTAAATGTAATGTTTCATGATTGAGGTACCCATGCATACATGTGATAATGTCAAAATAATGTTTCAGAAGAACTAAAATGATGACCATGCCTTTTTACTTATCTTGCCCAAAACCTTTTTCAAGGAAAATGAATCAAAAGCAATGACCTTGATGTTCGACCTTCAAAAGACATGTCAAGGACAATTAGATCAAATATGTAAACATATCAAAAGACAATGGACAATTGTAACAATCATAATGAAGTCCCATTTCACAGAGCTGCTAACTGTTCTTGAAGACCAATGAAAATCTTGTGTCTCAATGTTCAACAGCACAGGAGTCTACACACAGTACATTGGGGAACAGGGGCACACACCAGTACATCATCATAACAGTTACAATATGGTTTGTCTGTTCCTCCAAACAAAAACTATGCTGTTGCTCCAAGATAATATTACAAATCATGAACTGTTCATTCATTATATTACAATGATTGATAAACTTGTTACTATTTCAAAGATTTTGTTCTTTGTGGGTAAGGATGTAAAAGATGGTAACAGAAAGACTCACCTGGATCGTTTGAAGCTTTGATATTGGTTGTCCGAAGGATATCCTCTTCGTGGAGTATTCAATGGCACAATCCAGGGCAGCCTTAAATGGACAGAAGAATATCTCTACATTACAAGAATGCTGTGTTATGTGTACCTGTAAGGTCCAGAAGGAAATGCTTCCTGGATGACACTGCCTAGCTGATTATGGACTTGATGAAAACAGGGAGAAGCCAGATTTGTAGGATCACTGCTCTGGTGTAACCTTTAACAGTGCTGATAAATCACACCCAAAGCCATTACTACAATATCTGCATAGGCTTCACATACACAAGTGGAATAAAAGATGTCACTGAGGTCAGCCACAGATCACCATTACAAGGACCTTAGCAATACCTTCAACTTTGACACAGTACCTGACCAATACCCAGAGCTTGTCCAGCTATACCTATTCTGCCAGCATCCAATGTTTCCTGAAATAAACCAGTGACTCAAGCAAAAACATATGAAAACACAAACAAATCTGTTTATAGATCAAACATGCTGGTCAACAGATTGTACATGTCCCAACACTTTCAGGAAATGCCTACTTCATCATGTTCATCCCAACATCAGTTAAGCTATGGCTTGGTTTCTGCAAACACGGTGCAGTTTAATATCCACCTTGATAATATACAATGAGTTATAAAACATATCAAAGTAATTAACTAATCTCTAAATTCAAAATAGATATTCACATACCTCTGAACTCTAATTATGAGACATTTCAATCCATTTACGATACTTACAAAGAAATAGTTGTAACAGATAAAGACAAAAATACTTTAGTAAAGAAAATTTACAACTATTTCTTAACAATATAGTGGCAAACACCTGTTTGTCAATAGTACTGGAATCTATATCGAAATGTTGCATTCACGAAATGAAGTTGGTATCCCTAACATCTATCATTATTATACTTCCTAACTTGCCCCCCAGAGTAATTTTGCACTGTATTTTGTAACAAAACATTAGAATATGTAAGATGGACATATAACTGATAACAGAAGAGATGGCAGAACTTGCTCAGGCCATTTAACCTTTTTTCACACTATTCGTAGATCATATTGAAATTATAACAGGAACACCTGAGTAAGGTGAGATTCTCCCATCAGTCCCCACCGCTAACACTGCTACAGTATATATGTACAATTCGGCACCTACCATTGCTATCTTGAATCCATAGCCTGCTTCACCAAGGAGGTATTCTTTAGGGATGTGACAGTCATCAAAGATGAGGTTGCAAGTTGATGATGCTCGTATGCCCAGCTTGTCTTCTTTCTTGCCCAGAGACAACCCGTCAACTGGTTTTGGCACGAGGAAGGCACTTATACCCTGCAAATATCACAAAATATCAGCCCTGTGACACTTTGTACAAGCAGGTGTGACGTGTCTCTCCAGCTTTAGGATGTTACCTGTCCAAACACTGACAGGAAGAAATTCTTTTTTCACCCACAAACCTACTGCACACTACTTAAGCTTGGAATAAGGTCACTTTCTCCATAAATGAAGTTCCAATTTCTAGTGTAAGGAATATGTTTATCTTGGCATGTTGTTTAGTGGGATGGGAATACTTTCAAACTTCATCTCCCTCTATCTGGTAATTTCAGGGAAGTTGACCATTCTCAGTGCTACAACTTTGCACTGTTAGAGGATGGGAGGGTTGTAGCTAACTAAAGTTCAAAGGTAGGACAACTCACATGAATTTCAAGACATTTCTGGCACTAACTTGATGGTTTACAGTGTCAGATACTGTCCCAGCTTACCTTGTGTTTGAGCTGTTTATCAGTGGTAGCAAACACCTGCAACATAACACAACAAGTCAGTCTCACAAAAGGTACAATTACATGCATTGTTAGTAAACTTACCTCTGGATTACTGTAAAATGAGAAATTTTCCCGCCTATAAAATTTTGAGACCAGTTCTGCGACGTGTTATATTTACGAGAGGCACCCATATACACAAAAATAACTCAAACTGCAACTACGCCAGAAATCACTTGTCATCTTTGATGTTCTCGCTGCGCACCGATGCGAGTCATTCCTCAACTTGTTAAAACAACGTAACTTCCTCGTCAAGTTCGTTCCGGCTGGCTGCACCGGCGAGACAGCCATGAAAGCTCAGTTCACGCAGTGGTACGCTGACAGCTTGACAAAGAACTTGAAGGACAAGACCAACAAACCTGTAATTTTTCAAGTAAAATTGATATTTTTATACTTATCCTGACTCATGATCTTTTGCTTATCTCCATTTCCCTTGCGAATGGTAGTGGAACACTTGAATCCCTTGAAGTTCCCGAAGCGGACGTAAATATACACTCACCCACGAGTTACCTCCCTTTTGCCCTTTCCCGCGCAAACAGTCATGTGACCAGCCTTACTTGTCACTCTTTCCTGATTTTCTGCCCATGCTGTGAAATCCGAAGTGTTTCCAGCGGGGAGGTTGGGAGGGCTTCTCGTCATGAGACAGGATAAGTATAAAAATATCAATTTTACTTGAAAAATTACACATTTTTTCTTATCCTGACTCATAATCTTTTGCTTATAGAATCCAACGGATTGGTGGTGGGTCAAGCCACTTTGTGGATTCATCAGCTGTCCTTAGATACGTCCTGTATCCCCCCCATGGGAACTGTGAAAGGGCATTTCCGTGATCCTATTCTTCCAACTTCCGTTGTAACTCAGGGGGACCACTTTCTTGTCTTACTTCCATCTCAGACAAGTTGAATCATCTTGATTCATGTGGCTTAAGATATACTAGTATCTTCTTTTTACTAGATATCTATAACAACCCATAGATTATGATAAGGTCTTTATCATAAATGAGTTGCGACCCCCTTAATGTACAGGTAAGATCTTTACCCTAGCAGGGTCTTTAATCACTCATGCTAGTCTGTCCTAGACTGTGCGCATGGACTTTCAAACTAATACTTTCCCTTAGTAAAAGTTATCAACAAGTCAACGTGATAAAGGGTGAGATTTTCCAACTCAGCGCTTTTGAAGAACCTGTATGCCATCGTCCAGACCTCGATGCTGCAGATAGGTGCCAATAGGCTTGGTTATTCGTACGAATAATCATAGAGCCGACGATATTCCAAACGGTAGGACGTTCCATTGGAAGTGCTAACCTCTTATTGCAGTGATGATACATCATTCTTCCCCTTATATATGCAGGCGATCTGTGTTGATCAGCATACATCGAAGTGTTGTCTACTTATAGCAAGGCTGGCTTCAGTGTAGCATCGCAGGGGACAGGTACTCATACCGACTTTTATCAGCGACAACTGCCAAATAAACATCGTTTATCCTGCTGTCAAGGCTAGAAATCTATTAGATTCCCATGATGATATCAGGCTGTACTATTTCCAAGGCTGTCGATGAAGTATTCCCCCTTACCACGGGTTTGTTTACAAGTCAGTAAACTTGCTGGAGCCTGCTCTGTCCGTAAGAGGCGTTGTCTGACATGGACCAATCACCTGCTCTGTCCGTAAGAGGAGTTGTCTGACATGGACCAATCAGCTTCCAAGCATGACATCACCGGTGTTGTAGCAAGTTGGCCTCCCTAAAATCTGATGCAATTAGTTGGTTGAGTAAAAGCGCACGTAATTCTACGCCGCTCATATAAACCTCTTGAATAAGGGTTGCTCCAAGTGTAAAATCTTGTTCAGTGATATAAATCATGTATTCCCATTATGGATAATATAAGCCAGCATGACGAAGGATGCTGTCGAGACGTTTGTCTGTATGGATCTTGAAGAAATACCGATGTTGAATCTAGTTGATGGGATATAAAATCCTAATCCCCACACTGAGTGATGAAAGTTAATAATATCATCTGTACGTCCGTTCAAGTATTCTTGAAGACGTTGTAAACCTTAAGCCCTTTACAAAGGTCACCTTGAGGTTCTCCAGTACTTGAGATATCAGCTGATCAGCGTATATGCAGTACGTCTCTGATGGGTTAGAGTGAGTGAGTGAACGACAATATCCGTAGGCCATCTGCAACCCGGTATACGACCTCAGCATCCGTGTAGATGAAAGGATTCCTTTCATCAAGTAGGTTGTCGTCCGAAACTGAACCTATACAGGTATAAGGTTTGTGCAGGTTGTAGAGTTGTGCAGGCTGTAAACTGTAGAGATCGCACATGTTGTAGATCTTTTTGTTGAGTTATAAACTCTGACAAACCATCCGTTTTCATCATTGCTTCGTACTTTATTCAGCCGTATGGTAATAGAGTCGACGTCAACATCCTGCCTGTTGATCTAAGGGTTCCGGAACCCTGTAGATGTCTGCGTTGCTGATATCTGCCTGTAGATCTGAGAGTTCGCGAACCTTGGAGATGTCTGCGTTGCTGATATCTGCCTGTTGATCTGAGAGTTCGCGAACCCTGTAGATGTCTGCGTTGCTGATATCTGCCTGTAGATCTGAGAGCTCGCGAACCCTGGAGATGTCTGCGTTACTGATATCTTTATCAGCCGTGACTTGTGATGACTTCCTCACCCGATCCATGGCACATCTATAGATATAAGACAAATATTGATTAAATTGTAGATTTGATAAATCAACACAATAAGTATAGCACAAGCTGTAAGAACATGGTTTGATGCACGAAGGGCATTGGGGCAGAGGATCAGCCACGGATAACCTGTGCCTGCAACACTGCAAGATTTCATGAAATGTAAACAAAGTTACATTACGATGAAATTATGACACAAATACAAATAATTTTTACAATTTTTTTACATATAAGACATAGTAGTTATTGCCAAATCCATACACAGCGTAATTTTGAAGAATAGGACCTTTATAAAAAGGATATAATGCCGTATACGGGACTCCAGTGCTCGCCCAACCATCCACTTGGGCGAAAAGGGAGAGAGTGACAAGTAAGGCTGGTCACATGATTGCGCGGGAAAGGGCAAAAGGGAGGTAACTCGTAGGTGAGTGTATTTTTACGTCCGCTTTGGCAACTTCAAGGGATTCAAGTGTTTCCAGTACCATTCGCAAGGGAAAGGGAGATAAGCAAAAGATCATGAGTCAGGATAAGAAAAAATATGTTGATTTTAGGATTAGTGTAATGAAGCCGATCCATGCACGATGGGTAGTGTTGAATTGTTGAGAAGATAATGATAATGTTCTAAAAAAGGATAGTGCTTAGAGACAATATGTTTTAAGTATGCTGCATTGTTTTTAAATATGTTATATTATGGTATAATATGGAATAAAGTTTAAAAAAACCACGAAAATTCGTTTCCATTTCTGCGTCTTAAAACTTTTGCGCAAGCGCAAAGTTCGTAAAAATATCCTGCTCGCAAAATTTTCTCGTTTTACAGTATCATATGGTTGCCTTCTTCCTCTGTGTACCACAGAGACATACAGAAAAGGAATGAAAATTTTAAGTCATAGCTATCCCTCATGGTTGAGAGTTACACAGTTATCTCCCTTGTCTGTGACGTCACAGCATTGTTGTTTGAAAACCGTTCATAAATTTTTCTAAGAAAACTGATATCATTACCAGGTAGGAAGGGTGGAACCTTGACCCCATAATCCAGAGGTAAGTTTACTAACAATTACTAACAATACATGTAATAGTTCCTACTTATGTTGTAGGGGCGGTGGGGTAGCCTAGTGGTTAAGGCGTTCGCTCGTCACGCTGAAGACCCGGGTTCGATTCCCCACATGGGTACAATGTGTTAAGCCCATTTCTGGTGTCCCCCGCCATGATATTGCTTGAATATTGCTAAAAGCGGCGTAAAACCAAACTCACTCACTCACTCACTCGTGTTGTAAACATTCCCTCTTGACTACGGTTGCCTGAATACACACTAAGAAGGAGGGACTATGCAGATGATGAATACAGCAATACCACTAAATATCCCATTATGATCTCTAAGAAATAACATTAGGATAACTATGATGATGACTTCACTTCCTGTTTCATGACGTCAGTTCCAGTCGTTTTAACGTTACTTCCGGGTGATGACATCACTTCAGGCTGTTTACCATCATTTGCGGTTGGTGACATCACTTCCAGTAAGTGATATCATGTCTTCTAATGGGTTATGTAAAACAGTGATAAGAACTGCAGCGGATATACTAGTTCCACTTAACTGGTGATAAAGAGTTAGTAGACAAGGTTCTTAAAAGGGCTTAACCCTCTAAATAACTGATAACCTCTGTTTCCACCCTCACACATCAGGATAGTCATCCAACATCAGTCCAGACATAACTCTCTCTCAGGTCCACTAGCGGTAGCGTGATTCTTACCAAGATACTCTGGCAATGTTCTGCAGGACATCTTAATATATCCATCCGTAAAGGCGATTGTCCAAGGTATGTAGTTCTGATACTCTGGGAGCCGTAGCGAATGCAAGTAATAAGGCCGTCTTGAAGGATAAAATTTAAAGGAAGAATCCTGCACGAGGAGCTCTCTGGTGAGACTGGAGTACCAGGCAAAAATCCCACTTAGGGAGATGCAGAAGCGTGGTGAATCATGACCTGGTCGACCAAGCTGGAGCCACTAGGTATACTACACAGTTGTGCTGAACTATCTTGACTAGGACTTCCGGTATCATCTTGAAGGGAGGAAAAGTGTACGCGATCATATTCTCCCATGATATGGACATGGCGTCCACTGCCCATGCCGAGGGTTCTGGAACCGGGCTCACGTACATCGGTAATAGTTTGTTCCGGCATGTTGCAAATAGGTCTATGGACGTCACCTCCCAAGTTTTCCCAATCAAATTGAACGCCTCCCTGTGTAGAGTCTGTTCCGTGGACTCAGTCCTGTCTGGAGAGCGAATCGGCGAGGATGTTGATATTGCCTGGGATACGACAAGCTCTGACCTAGCACTTCATGGTGTCCATGATGGTAAATAGGCGATGAGTAATCTTGAGCAGATGTCGTGACCTGGTTCCTCCTTGCTTTTGACGTAAGCTACTACAGTAGAATTGTCTGTGGCCAGTATGATACTCTTACCGTGAAGTAGCCAAGCCCAAAGGAACAGCGCTCTGATGATCGCTGACATCTCTAGAATGTTGATATGGAAGGAGCTTTCTGCTAGATTCCACAGTCCCTGTACCTGATAATGATCAATGTGGGTGCCCCAGCCTGATGTTGACGCGTCAGAGTAAATAGTCAGGTCCAGAGGAGGACGACGAAAAGAGTTCCCGGAAGCACGTTGCTGTCTGTTGTCCACCATAAGAGCTCTTGTCTGACCCTGATGGGAAAGGCTATTGGAGACTCCAGGTCGAGTGATCTGTTCTGGTTTAGCCAAATCTGAGATTCTCCTCTGTGTATTCTTCCTCTCATGGTGAAGTCCTGGATGCACATCAAGGAACCCACAGCAACATTTACGTGCGTACTGACGTTGTCGGAGCCCGAGGAGATGACAAATCCTGTCTCGAATCAACGTCCAACGCTCCGGAGGAGGATAAATACAGCAAGTTCTCGTGTACAAAATCACTCCATGAAATTTGATGCTGGATATTGGTTTCAATTCTGATTTGTCCGGATGAACGATCAATCCCAAAAGAATGTGGGTCAGGATGTTTCTTGACAAGATGTAGTCCAAATAGCTGTGGAACGCTATCCTCCTGCAGTGTAGAAAGGCTAGAATGGGATTCATAGTCATGGGCTACAGAGATTCCAAACACACTGTCCATTGAAGGTAGACTCTGAGTTCAATGGTTGTTAAAACATAAGCTCCTCAGTAGACTCTGGGAGATTCCTAATCGAGCTTAATTTCTGAGTCTGATCCAATCCAGTAAGGCAATGTACAAACTTGGTTGTGTGTAGCATCTGATTGGTACACCACATCCAAAAACGAATGAGCTAAGGTGGCCTCATGAGCGGACATCGCCATCAGTGTGTCCTCTTGATACCTGCATAGTCCTGGAAAACTGGAGGTAACTGGGCCCATACTCCATACTCCAGCCGCAAACCAGTTGATGTACGATAGAATGTCAATTGTGGTGCGTGGAGCAACATCTAACTCCCTTAGTCCCTGGTATGGCATGAAATATAAGTGCCCTTGGCTGCCCTGGAATCTAGCTGAGCAAAATCCCTATCTAGCTGAGGTGAACTGGCAGGAATGGTCCGATCATGGATTTGTGGCTAACCTTAGGGATGCTGGTTAACTCATTAAAGCCAAGAGCCGCATATGTGCAACAAATTAATCAGCTTCTCACAGCGAGTGCGTCAGGTAATTAGCAGTTCCTCACAGCGAGAGCCGATATGTGCATCAATAGAAAGCACCTCTTATTTAACGAGTGACGCACATGTGGGGTAGACGCTATACCCTCCGAGTCCGATAGATCAGGGATGGATTGTCCGTGTCCATATGATCCTGGGAGCTTGGAAACGTAGCGTAAGCTGACCGATCACAAGGGCTACCCGTGACAATGGTAGCCATTTGCTGGTCCGCCATGATGGGAACAGTAGGCTGGAGTGACCCCAAGCGTGTGGCCTATGCACAGTCCACCGGGTCGACTCCATAAAGCTTGTGTCTACACGGCTCACGTCCAACTGGGTAAATGATTCAACTTGTTCAATCTGCATAGATATTGGATATTTTACTTTTTTAGCCTCATTATGGAGCTCAATTTCATGAAATGATTGGTTCATGGAGGAATGGAGATAATTTTTAAACATCGACAACAAGGCTGTGATGACGGAAATGTGAAACTGATTGGAATTTGATCTAGGCTTAGTGTCCAATTCAACAGAAGTCGATGGTGAACTAGACGCAGACTTTTTAGGTTTGCTTGGCTCTGAGGAAGAGGAACTTTTCCTTTTTCTAGCCAATGACTGGGAAGCATCCATTTCTTGCCATTCTTTATTATTTAGCTCCTGACATAGCAAACAACGATTTTGGAGAGTACAGGTGGGGACCAGTAAAGCATGAAGCACAAAGCGAGTGGGGCTCCGATTCGGCCATATATGCAGAAATATTGCAGATATTTGTTTTGTGACATGATAATTTTCGTGGGAAACACTCAAAGTCTGACAAAGTTTATCTAAGCACAAATACGGCACAGAAATATGAAATCGATTGTCAAAACAATGACCAATGCGACACTACTGACCAGCTAACTTGAAAATCAAAGACTTGAAGAATAATTCTAAAAAATATTTACTTCTCTCTGGAAGCACGTCCTGTATGTGGCCCATACAGAAAACTTATATGAAAGGTTTTCAAACAACAATGCTGTAACACCACAGTCAAGGGAGATAACTGCTTAACTCTTTAGGTATACCACTATGGATAGCTTTGACTTAATCAAAAGTTTCATATCTTTTCTGGATGTCTCTGTTGTAAACAGAGGAAGAAGGCAACCATAATCCAGAGGGAATGTTTAATTGTTCAAAGTACAGAAACATTAATAGTGATGGTTTCAAATTTCCGTAAATCTATAACTATTTCATAAGTGCAATTTCCACACTTGTGGAACAATATTTCAGTTAAATCACAATATTCTTGCTGAATATGGGCGAAATCTCAAAGTGATATGGGTCATAGAAGTCAGCTGAAATCCATAATCCAAAGATCATGAATAGGATCATGAAAGTCTAAACCAAAGTAAGCAGGGATAATTTTGGAATTAATCCAATCAGCGCCCTGGGCCCATGCAGTTAAACATTAGTGGGTCCTGTGTCCCAGCTCCGCTGCACCAACAGGATACCAACAACAATAAATGTTGTGGGGTGAGGGTATGGGAGGGAGCATACTTCCATAGGTGGGCATTTTGTGGTACCTCCACGAGGAAAATGTTCACATTTGTTTTTGAAAGAAGGTGTAAAAAATATTTTTGCAAACTATTAAGTCTATTACAGCTTAACATGCTAAGAAGAACTTCTTTGAAAATCCCGGACAGACACCCCATAGTAAATACAGGTCCAAGCAGCTGCTAAATACTTACATCAAAGCATCTGACATAGGATATCTAATAGCAGCCAACCTAATTGAACTGCACATGTTTCAGAAATTACTGAATTCAATCAATGATAATGTTAACGACATACCACAGTTGCTTCTGATTCATAGCCATTTGTAATCCATGACTTGGTTCCATTGAGCACCCAGCTGTCCTTGTGCATAGTGGCTGTTGTTGAGGCTGCCCCTGCATCACTGCCATTACCTGCAACAACACAGTGACGGGTTACTGCAACAACACAGTGACGGGTTACTGCAGACACTACCTGCAACAACACAGTGACGGGTTACTGCAGACATCACCTGCAACAACACAGTGACGGGTTACTGCAGACACCACCTGCAACAACACAGTGATGGGTTACTGCAGACACTACCTGCAACAACAGAGTGATGGGTTACTGCAGACACTACCTGCAACAACAGAGTGACGGGTTACTGCAGACCCTTCCTGCAACAACACAGTGGTGGGTTACTGCAGACACTACCTGCAACAACACAGTGACGGGTTACTGCAGACACTACCTGCAACAACACAGTGGTGGGTTACTGCAGACACTACCTGCAACAACACAGTGATGGGTTACTGCAGACACTACCTGCAACAACACAGTGACGGGTTACTGCAGACACTACCTGCAACAACACAGTGACGGGTTACTGCAGACACTACCTGCAACAACACAGTGATGGGTTACTGCAGACACTACCTGCAACAACACAGTGGTGGGTTACTGCAGACACTACCTGCAACAACACAGTGGTGGGTTACTGCAGACACTACCTGCAACAACACAGTGGTGGGTTACTGCAGACACTACCTGCAACAACACAGTGGTGGGTTACTGCAGACACTACCTGCAACAACACAGTGACGGGTTACTGCAGACACTACCTGCAACAACACAGTGACGGGTTACTGCAGACACTACCTGCAACAACACAGTGATGGGTTACTGCAGACACTACCTGCAACAACACAGTGACGGGTTACTGCAGACACTACCTGCAACAACACAGTGGTGGGTTACTGCAGACACTACCTGCAACAACACAGTGATGGGTTACTGCAGGTGGAAGTGGGAGATGCAATTCCCCTAAGCTTACAATAGTCTTCAAACTTCTTGCACTTGTTGTCGTACAAGGAACGGGTCAAAGTACGATGCGCTGAAGTGATAGCTGTGGCTACTCGGCGAGAGTAGCCCTTAGCTATGAGAGACCTCTGAAGATGTGCCAAACGTGTAGATTGAGGGTCTGAGGTGACCCGTGGCGCAGTTCCGAGTGAGGGTGAAGAAGTAGGTTGTCCCGGTTGGGAAGCGGTACTGGGTTTGGCTCTGCCAGGCTTTTTAGGTTGACGAACCAACTTCTCGCTGGCCAGAAGGGTGCGACCAAAAGCAGTAGTGGCTGGTGGCCAATAGTTTCTGTATTACTTTTGGTAGCAGAGCTGGAGGGGGGAACGCGTAGGCATTGAGACCCTCCCATGATATTGCCAAGGAGTCTGGGATTGGTGATACGAACTTTGGAAGTTGGTTGTTAAACCTTGTGGCAAACAGATCTATTTGAGGCCGTGATAACGGGTAGATCATCGACTGAAAGATCTGGGGCAGTAACTTCCACTCTGTCGGGGACGGTCGGTTGGATCGGGACAAGGCATCGGCGATCACATTTTTTACCCCGCGAATGTGTCTGGCTCTGGATACGATGTTGAGTGAGTTGATGAAATGGAAGAACCTGATTGCCCATTGTAGCAGATTGGCAGATTTGACTTATATACCAAACCACTGTCGAATTGTCTGATTGGATCAACAGACTGGTTGATTGAAGCTCTGTTGCCCAATGTGAGATGACTTGAATTACCGCCTTGAATTCCAGCTCATTTATATGAAGTACCCGTTCGTCGGATGACCACACCCCGGCCACTTGGTGGTCGAGGAAGTGAGCTCCCCAACCCATGTTGGATGCATCGACGAATAGGTGATGAGTCGGTGCAAAGGGCATCGTAGAGACACCGGCGCAAACATCCCTTTCGTCGAGCCTCCATTGAAGGACTGGACGAAACAGTTCTGGAAGGCAAATTAGTTCCTTGGGGTTGTCGGCCTGAAGGTACAGGCGTAGAAATCGCTGTATCGGCCGAGGTTGGAGCTGGCCTCTGTACGTTAACTCTTGAGCTGATGTCAGAAGGCCCACTAGCTCCTGCCACTGTCGTAAGGTTCTTGCCAGAGACAGTCCTGGAGGAATGCATTGCTGAATCTTTATCCACCTGTCGTGAGGTTCGAACGTCATCCCCTGACGAGTGTCGAACAGTGCTCTGATGAATTGGAGTTTCTGAGTCGGTATTAGTTCCGATTTCGCGATGTTCAACATCCACCCTAACTGTCTGAGCAGCATGGTGGTGAACACGAAGCGAAGGTACTTCCGATGTTCTGGATGTATCGGAATGTGAAGATAAGCATCCTGAAGATCTAGGTTGATGAGGAAGTCTCCCTTCTTCAGGATGGTGCGTAAAAGGTTGATCGACACCATCCTGAAGTGAGGCGGTGGAAGCAGGAATCGTGCATTGAACAACTTCATATTGAAGATGAGCCGGAGTTTGTTGGAATTTTCCTTTGGAACCAAGAAGATGGGGGGAGTAGAATCCTGGAGTGACAGGCGATGGACCTAGGAGCTCAATCGCGAGTTTGTCTAATAGCGTACTTATTGTGGATTGCAGAGTCTGAAGTTGGTCCACAGGATATGACGCGATGAGCCGGATGCGACGTCAGAGGTGGACTGCCAATAACGGGTAGCTGATAGCCGTTAAGTAGCAGGTTGGTGACGTACAGATCTTTGAGGATGGTCCAATTCGGGGCGAAGATGTGCAATCTCCCGCCTACTGGAGTGTTGTAAATCGGAACCACTCGGGTTGGGAGGCTAGAGTTGGTCCTTTGGGAGAGAGGAGAGGGAGAGGGAGAGGGAGAGGGAGAGAGAGAGAGGGAGAGGAGAGAGAGAGAGAGAGAGAGAGAGAGAGAGAGAGAGAGAGATGCAATCATTCAGCCGCCTACTTAGAATACCAGTGACAAGGCCTAACATGTTCCAGTATTACAGAATTTGATATTTATTTTGGCATACATTGAGGGGCTTATGACAAGAAGTAAGTTTTACAAATGGATGACAAGACATGGTTTCATGCTGTTGGTGAAATATACAAGGCAATGCTTCTCCATCTTACACCATTACTGTGGTGAAATGTGTGTAGATATGGGATTGATTCTAAAAGCAATCTGACCCTGTTACCTTCAGTAACATGACACCTTTGCTTCTCTGATGAGGTGAGCCTGTGCAACCTATATTATGTATTCCCCAAATACAAAATGTTTGTGTGAGGGAAATGCTAAAAATGCTGTGCTAAATTCAATTTTACTGCGTATATTGTCAGAGTGCCGTACACAGCTGATGAATTTTTCTTTCTGTAAAATCAAAGAGCTGTTTTCTTTGTTTTCATGACCAGCTTATCTAGAAGGCAAAATGGATTCAACAGTACTGAAAGCAATGCAGAATGTGCAGCATAAATACAAAGAGAAGCTAGATGAGGCTAAGAAGTTGGAGCCGCCTGCTCCTCCTACACCCTACATTCCTGGTCTGACTGCACGACCACACCAGATCCTGTGGTCACAGCTTCACACTCACAAGGTATAGCACACACATTGACAGTTTCCCTGGTGTTAACCCAGATTTGCTGTATTATGGCTTTTTCCTTACATCTTCTGCATAATTTTAGGGCAAAGATCATTTTAGAAATGTGGGCCCTGTATTTATCCCATCCAATGCTCTGAGTGTCATGTGTTTGTTGTATAAAGTTTACTTCGCTGAAGGGATCTAGGTGTCCCCGATCACAGTGCAGTATACAACCTCTCCAGTGGTAGAATGATTTCTACTAAATGAATCTGGCAAAGTTGCATCTACATTTTCCCTGCTTGGCCACTGAGCCAATCATGAGATCTGACATAAAAGGAAGTCAAGGTGCTTGGTGCAGATTCTGCTGAAATTCTAAATATGTATGTTAAATCGCCTAGTAACACTCTTAATTTCAGTGCTACATTAAAGGTCACATGCAACTCAAAACACAACTTTGCAGATTCTGATATCTTCGGTATGGACCTACAGTAACAAATGATCAAAATGCAAATTCAACTTATAAAGTTGAAAAAATAACGAAATCCCTAAATTGAGAGTTCAAACAATTCACTAAATTCACCCCAGCTGTGGTGAAAAGTGGTTTCAACAGCTGTGTGCACTGCACTTTACTGTGCTCATAGAGCATGCACAGTCAATAGGTTCGCATAGTTTGAAGGCGGGATGTCCGGATTATAAGGTCTTGAGCAGGAGTAGTCTAATCTTGGTTGTGTACACAAACAACAAATAGTAAATAATCTACTGCTATATAAAAAGAACCTTGTTAAGGATCTTGATCTACTCAGCTATGTGTCAACTAGTGAACCGCTCGACATTTCAAGATGGAAAACCTTCGGCATGGGAGTAACTCGGAGTGGGCTTTGATGTCAGCTATTTTCTAATGTTCTGTTGATATTTCACAGTCGCAGAGAGAGAGAGAGAGAGAGAGAGAGAGAGAGAGAGAGAGAGAGAGAGAGAGAGAGAGAGAGAGAGAGAGAGAGAGAGAGAGAGAGAGAGAGAGAGAGAGAGAGAGAGAGAGAGAGAGAGAGAGAGAGAGAGAGAGAGAGAGAGAGAGAGAGAGAGAGAGAGAGAGAGAGAGAGAGGAGGGGAAAGAGGATGATGGAGAAACCACCACGCCAGATCTGTTTCTCTGCCATGGCCTTGAGTGGATCCGCCACCTAAAAAGATTTGCGACATCCGATTGAAGGTGAACTGTGCAGTTTGACGCTGTTTTAATGAGTCCTGAGCTGTGACTTCTGTATCTTTAACAGTTCAATCGAGACTTGAAAGTGGTTTTCTTTATCAACTTTATTAGATACTTCTTGAATGCTACCATTGAAGAGGGAGTCAGGAAACCAAGGCTGGCGAAACAGTTCTGTTCTAAATCGCTCCTCCCATGAAGAGATGTTAAGGGGTCCACGTCGGCAAACAGCAAGAGTGTAGCCCAAAAAATGAGACAACTGATCCAGGATAATTTGGAACTGGTCCAGAGCTAAAGTCATGCATCCTCAGATGTAAGCGTCTTGATCAGAGTAAGTATGCTCCAGAGCAGTG